GCGAATCAGATATTTACCGCATATGTAGTAGAAACTAAGTGCGTTATCAAAACCCCATGCGAGACGAAGCCAAAATTTCTGGTAACCATCAATAAGATACACCAAGTACGACAACAGAGCAATAACCTGTAACGAGAAGTACGTGTATCGAAATTCAGAAAGACATGTTTTTTTTAAATAAAAGCAATGTATGAAAAAATTATCCAATGACACACCAGCTGCACGGAGAAGAAGATAAACAAAATATCCCTAGTGACGAAAAACCGGAACTTCAATGTTCGCCATTTCCTATCGGCAACGCCGTGTACTCGTATATGATATTGAGCCTTGCAAGTTGTGCAATGAGCAAAAGCAAATCCTTCCTAATGGAAAATAAAAATAAAAATTATACATTTTCAACTCAAATACAAATCGGGAATTAAAAATTTCAAAAAATTTAAAATCGAACGAGTAATTAGCCACTGTCGATAGCTCAATACAATTTACGAGAAATTTCGAATACAAGGAAAGATCAGAACACGAATAAGTTCTCGATTAACTTGTTACCTTGACGGCACGCCATTGATCGAGACATTCTCTGTGAACGTATTTCGATGTACCTTTGCATTTGCAAGGAGCAATGAAATCCCTACCTGATATAAAACAGCCATTGATGAAAATCTGAAACAATTTTGGATTACATGTAAATATAAATACTGGTAAACAATTAACAAAAACCCTAACACCTTTCTAACCCTAATTCACAGCAAGATCATATTTTTCGACTGAAAACCCTTAAAAAAATGAAAATTGGGTAAAGTTGAGGAAATTTCACCGTCGGTTTCGAGGCAAATTCGACACTGAATTTGCTCATTGGGGCCCGCCTCTAGGTCAATTTCGGAGGGGTCCGCCATAGGCGTCGGCGCCATCAGCGGCGAAGCGTCGTCGGGTTGATCGCCGCCCATTCTTCAGACGATTAAATTCAGCAATTCGAATTCAATTTCATGTAAAGGAAAAAAGGAAACCCCTTTCGGTTGATGAATTCAACGCTTTTCTTAATAACGGGCATGAATTTTAACAACCGCTCCGGCGAAAGGGGGTTTCGGAAACCAGACTTCCAAATTCCAATCAGTGTTGCAAGTCCGAGGTTTGTTTTAGATGAAGCCAACAACAATTGGTACGAGTAAAATGTGCTCAAAGAAGAAGTCTTGGAACTAATTTTGGCAGTGGGTGGGTCTTAACCCGGACCCGACCCGACCCAGATCCACTTCTTGAAATGGATTTTCATGGAGATTTTTTTTTTTTTTTTCCGGCATGGGTGGAAATGGGACGGAATGGATTCGAAATGGTTTCTTCGGAAAATTTCTATTTTTTCGGAAGTGAAAAATGGGTTCCATTTTTCGTTCTAAATGAATTCGGACAAATCAGAATTCGGAGAGAAAAATACGGTTGTAAATACGCATATTTCCGGATCGGAATTGGTGGAGTTCAGAAATTTCATTCCGATTTCCATGCCACAGAAAGCAGATTGTCATTGATTTTTAATTACATTTTAATGGAATATTTAAAAACTAATTTGTAATTTATTTATAAATTTTGTAAAATATCAAAAATTCTAATGTAATGTATTCTTATTAACAAAATCCGTAAAAAAATTCATATATATTATTACATATAATACAAGTGATTAAAAAAACTTATATTTTATTAAATGTAATTTTATTTACAATATTGAACCAAGAAAACAAAAAAAATATAATAACAATAAAATCCAGATGAGATATATACTGTATACATATATATATATATGGTAAAATATAAAACGATAAAGTTCATCGGTTGTAACACAGAGAAAATTTTAATTTAACTAATAAGCCTTTCTTTATGATATCTTAACAGCCGCAAGGAACTGAGAGAGAGAGAGTTGTACACTACTCAGACAGGCATACATTAAAATGTTACATATATAGTCCTAAACAAACCCTCCTATGCTGCTCATAAACTAGGTTGTAATAATATATAGTTTCACCAAATATAAGTCACAATAAATATAGAGACAGCAATATATATCTAAAGGAGGATATATATATATAAATTATACACTCTACACATTTACTTCTTCCTCTTCTTCAAAGGCTGTAGGGCTTCTTCCTCGTCCTCTTCCTCTTCATCTTCCTCCTCGTTTTCTTCGTCACCATCTTCTTCGTCATCATCATCTTCATCATCATCATCGTCGTCGTCATCATCATTATCGTCATCATCTTCATTAGGGTCCTCACCGGATTCTTGTTCGTCTGCATTTTCTTCCTCGTTATTGCCGTTTTCTTCCACCTTGCGGGCCCCACCATCCGGCCCGTTTTTCGCACCGTTAGTATTTTCTGCCTCTTCTTCTTCATTGTCAGGATCGTCGTCTTCGTCATCTTCGTCGTCATCTCCATCGTCATCCTCGGAATCTACCGGTTTGGAGGGAAGATGATCTCCCCTCGACGACTTAGGTTGGTTCATAAGTAGTAGCTTCATGCATTCCTGAAGTTCATTAAGGCCTCGTTTGCTTACTTATATGGGATTACATTGCATTAGGTGAGATTGGATAATATCCAACTGACTAATTAATTATTTAGTCAATAAGATGTTTGATTCGTCAGATTAAATTTTGTATTAAATTTGTTAACTTCTGGTATTAATTGTGAATTGTATAAAAAGTTTTTTAATTAACAAAATTAAGATATTGTTTTAAGGATAAAATTGTATTTTCCTCTTTTAATCACCCCCTACTAAATTATTTTGAGAAATGTTTACTATATATATATATATATATGTACATACACACACATTGCTTTTTAGAATTAAATTAATATTGAAGAATTCGGAAAATTGGGGAAAAGTAATATTTCATAACAAAATTTAAAAGTTAAATATTTTATTATATATTGAAAAAACATCTTATTAACTAAATAAAACTTTGTTAGTTAGGAATTAATATATAGTCCAATCCACAATCCATATCAAGGCCTATATTTTAATTTGCAAGGACCAAAATTCGTTTTTTTTTAAAGTATAGTGGAAATTGAACTAGTCGGATCAATTATTAGAATTATTTCAATTTTTTTTAAATCGAAAAATCAGTTGAAAATTGGAATGACATGTTCCAAAATTGGAATTTTTCTGATCAGAAAATATGGAAATCATAAATTTTATTTTTTATTCATATTTATTTTAAAATACATAATAATATTCAAATTATTGGAAAAATAATAAGTTTTCCCGAATTATTTTTGAAATTAAAATCAGATCGAAAATTTGTGGTTTGGGAATTTGGAATGAAAAATATGGTTCCAAAATCGAAAAGAAAAATCGGAAAGAAGAAATATAATAATGAGTTTTTTTTGTTCGACAAATAAATAATTTAATTTAATAACGAATACGAATCTAGGCCTAAAACCCAAATACCAATAGTTTGACAACGTCTTTTCAATAAATTAAAATTTAAATATTAAAATCCAGCTCAATTGTTTTTTTATATATAATTTTAAATTAATTTCTGAAAAAAAAACATAAATCTTTTTAGTTTGGAAATTACCTGCGACAGGACTGAGACAGCCAGCTGAGCGTTGACCAGAGCAGAGACCAGCGCCGCCGCCGCCGCTAAAGCTGCATCTCCGCCCGCGCACGTTAGCATGTTTTCCTTAATCGTGGTCAACTTGACCGAACCACAGTTAATCTCCATTTTCCTCACTTCTATATATATACTCCAAACTTCAAACTTCTTAAAAAAATTCTGACCGTCGGATCTGCACATATTATCGCCCAATTTTAAAATAATAAATAAAAAAATTTTAAAAAAAATAATGAAAGACGACAGAAACCAACTTTTTTTTTTCTGTAAAAAGAAATTTAATCACAGTGTGAAAAGAAACTGCGTGTGTGAAAAAAAAACGATAATTTTAGCAAATTTAATAATAAAAAGTACTAGATCCAGAAAATTCGAAATCAGCATAAATGAATTTATTTATTTATTCAAAATTGTGAAGAAAAAAAAATGGAGTGAAACTTACGGGGAAGAACAGATCTGAAGATGGATCGAGTAGATCTGAGAATTTGTTGAGCTAAGCAGCGGAGGGGGTGAGATCTGAGGAAACTTTCATTCTGGACCGTCCGATCAAGCAGAGGGGAAACTATAGATACAGTATAATGTAAGTAAATATAGTTGCAGGAGAAAGTAGCTTTGGAAGAGTGACCGACTGACTGGTGGAATGGTGATGATTCGTGGGGAGAGCTGACCGTAATCCCCACAGAGGGGGTTCGGGCAGTTCGGGCAGCGTTTTCTTCAAGCAGATATTAACACGCTGCCCGTTGATTTGGTAACAAAGTGTGTTTGATTTAAGTTAATTTATGGTAATTAATAATTTATGATGTATTTAGCTTTGTTTAATTTTTTTTTCATTTCTTTTTTTAGATTTTAAGGTTAGCTTAAATTTTAGGCAAATTAAGGTCACCCTGAGTTATGGTTAAATTACGAAAACCTCCCTCTTGTTTGGGTAATAACAGTCACCCCTCAAATATGTATTATCTTACGGAAAAACTCCTCCAGAGATAAATTTAGGATGTTACATCGGTAACACCGAACCGAATCTTCGGTACGCCAACATTTCATATTGTTTACCAAACTGAATATAAATTTTATGTAAAAATATTTAAAGGGAGATTTTCGTAATTTGACCATACCTCAGGGGTGGATGTAATCACCCAAATAAGAGGGGAATTTTCGTAATTTGATCATATCTCAGGAGTGACTGTAATTATCCAAACAAGAGGGGGTTTTCGTAATTTAGCCATACCTCAAGGTAGCCATAATTTGCCCTAAATTTTATGCTTATTATAGTATAGTCAGCTTTCTTTAGTTTATTTAATTTTCATTTTCTTCGGATTTTAGGGATTATTATCTAGAGGTCTTTGAATAACATTTAGTACTGCTTAAAGGACAAACATTATTTTTCATTTTGTTAAGGGTCCTCTAATTGAATTTTGGTACCAATTAAAGTTCTTGGAGACTCGTAATTGGTTTATATGGGCACTGAACAGAACAATTTTACCTTATGTCCCCTCTTTGCTAGCGCACCCTGGCCAACAACAAATTTTGAGAGAGAAACAAAAATTTGATTTTTGAACAATCGATAAATTTTGTTGACAGAAGAAAATTGATCTTTAGTTCATGAGTAATTGAGAAATATTCAGATATAAAATCATCTATTGTTTAAAAGTAATGACATATTTATGAGTTTGATAAGCAAAAATTATATCTAGGAAAATAAATATTATAAATACGATAAAAAAAAAAAAAAAAAAAAAAAATAGGAGCTAATATAAGATAATCCCATAAAATTAGAAAGAACTATTTTTCACTTGACCCATAAAAATGGGCTCATATTATTTGGGCTGGGCCATCAGAATTGCTTCAATAAAATATTGAGGGTGATCAATTCGGCCCTTTTCTTGTTTGCACGTGAAATATGTATTTAATGTGGGATTTTTGGTTAAAAAGCACAAACAAACAAATTGGTACTATTTTTTACCAAATAGTTCATATCGTTTTTCATGATACTAAAGATAGATCCCCTGATCTAGTTTAAGTATGATGAGTTGGAAGAGCAAACTGAATCACTGGCTCACGAGTTTGATGATCTCGAGATATTTGCGGTTAGATAACACGTAAACTAAGTGGGGGTTTGATCCGGCGGAAACTCCTCCGACGCTCAAGTCAAACGTGTGGATTGCAAAAGTCGTAGAGAGAATTCAGAGACTTGTATTGCTAGAATATTGAACTTACCTTAACAAATGAATTATAACATTTATTTATACTGAGCTTGTCGGGCTGGAATTAATTAATCGTAATTGTCGAGCCCAAAAACCTTATTTGAAGGTGATTGAACTTCCTTTCTAGTGATCTTTAAAATTGGGTTCGTGGCCCAGTAAATTAAGAAATTTTAGGTCCATTAAACTGGTCCAATTAGACATATCAGTTTTCTTTAAGGAAAGTAGCAAACTACCACTTTAATATTCACCATTTAGAAAGTTGTGTATCAAAAATGCATCATAGAAAATATTTTGTAAATACAATTAAACCTTTATGAATTAATACGATCGGCATAATAAAATTTTATTAATTTAGTAAAATATTAAATAATCTAACTAATGATTTAATACATTTTCACCGAGTCAGGACTAAGACAGATCATTATTTAAGTGAGATTATTAATTTATCGAATAGCAAATATCACACAAACTTCAATAGTTCAATTGTCAAAAGGCACCAAACTTATCCAAATTCCAAATGCAATTATTCAATTTCATGAGAATCATTAAAAGTTAGAATAAATTTGGAGTATATGAATCTTTCAATTTTGTGGCGACACGTTATCCATCATTGCTGTACTTTGAAGAAGTTGTATATACACCATAATTAAATTCGATTCTTCTTATAATGCCTTTCACTAAATACAAATTAACAAAATAGCAAAATAGTAAAGAAAAAGATAATTGAATATTAGTCACTACTATTCATGTATTATCGTTAATTTTATAATAATTGATGATATACAAAATATCAATGTAAACCTGATATTGTTAATGGCAAGATAAAAATTGTTACGTTCTGCAAAAAATGAACTAGCAGTTTGAGCAAATGATTATGTATCATTGATCCAAATTCGAATCCATTTGCTAAGTTACGAATTAATACTATATATATATACTCGATCACAAAAGTGACAACAAATATATTCTCCAACATTGAATTTAGCATAAGTACTTTTTTTAGGTAAAAATGAAGAAATGTCTAAACCACACTATTAGAGAAAATAAAATACATATTCTAAGAGAGAATATAAGTTATTGCATAGGTTTAATTCTATTCTTTGGTATCTCCACATACTTTGGTATATATCTCTTTCCACCTATGTATAAATAGATACAAATAGAAAGCCAAATATTTTCTTTTGGGTATTAAAAAAAACTAATTTTTTTTTTAAATATAATTATAATATGATTATGATATCATATTAAAACTTCTTAAACTTACAAATCATGCATTAGTGTTAATAGAAAAGTTAAATAAAAATTTAAAAATAAAATTTATTTCCTTATAAACACACTATTTTATACAAAAATAAATTATATTAAGTACCATATATATTTTATTTTTAATTTCTTGGGGGACCATGACATAGTGAAGTTCAATGGTTGTAGAGATCTAGTTTACCACAATCACAACTTTGAAAATTTCAAGAACTAAAAAGTAGTATGTATTGTTAATAAATAATATTTTTTTTGTGGAGGTGGTCTTCCACTAAAATACTTCAAATAAATGCTAGTCTCTATAATGGCATATACTTTTATCCATTTGATAAAGAGATTGGATATGTACCTATATAAGTATATATTATCGACTGAGCCAGAATTTTAAATTTGGGAACCAAATGCATTTAAAATTTATTCATGCCGTTAGAGTTTCTGTACGCAAAAAATTTTATATTCTATATAAATTAATAAAGATTTAAGAAATATTGAGGAGTCTATACCCTATGCTGGCTCTGCCACTATTCTTACGTATATTTGAAAGCATGGATTCCAAGTTGTGATATCAACAATTCAAATCATACATTTTTTTTGTGTGCGGTAGTTTGACTTTGAAGCTTGATTATTTTTATTTTTTATTTTTTATTTTTATCCCTATATAATATTACTTTAAGATTATATCCTAATCAAAACATATATTATATACATGTGTGTGTTACCTTTATAATAATAGTCTTAACACGCAGGATTGATGTGTTCATAGTGATTAAAAAAGTAAATAGCTTCCAAATTGGACTACTAAAATGACTCATTAAACACCCAACAACTTTCATATAAAAGTGTGTCATTAATGATTTTGATATTATTAGTGTAAAGATCTCCTCGGTGCATTTCACCGTATAACATAGAATAAACTACATTACAAGTTGTAACCAATTCATTTGAAATCGTAATACTCAAATGTTTTTTGGATTGTTAAAAAAAAATTACAACCCATCCAGATAATTTCAATAAACTTATCATCATATAATTCAGCGTTTCGTTTCTACTGCGATAGAAAACGCCATAATTTACTGTAATTTTTCGTCATTTTCTCGACTATATTTAGCTCCGAATAATATTCTAACAGCTTTAATTCAACGAAAGCTAACTAGAAGTAATATAGCATTTGTATTATGAGATAGGGTAGATTATGGCCAACCCCATGAGGTAAAGTCAAATTACGAAAAACCCCTTCATATTTGGGTAATTACAATCACCTCCATCAACTATGAATATTTTTACACGATCATCCTTGTCGCGTCAAAATTAGTGGAATCTTCTAAATTACGTGGAATGTTCTCTAATTTATACCCGTTTTATCCCATTCGAGCTCCACATTTTGAAACAAGATAACTATAATGTCGCTTATAAATATCAGATTGTGGTGCATCAGAAACTGTATTTTTGCACAAAACGAGTACAATCTAGATAACATTTCACGAAATTTAGAAAATTCTATTGAATTTGACACCAAAGAGTGGACGCGTAAGTAGATTCATAGTTGAAGGACATGATTGTAATTACCCAAACATGAGAAATATTTTCATAATTGAACCGTACGTCAAGGGTGGCCGTAATTTACCTAATGGATATAATAATTGGATAAGATATCAATAAAGTAAGTCCCATTTCCATTTGTATGTGAAGTTAGCTTTATGCAAAAGGATAAAATGATGGACAATAAAAAAATTCCAAAATTGTAGTTTTTTATATAAATAAAAAGATGAAAAGCTATAGCAAAACACTGTGGCAACTCGAGAGAGCCATGGCTACTAACGACTCTTAAAATAAATGAAGAGTCGTTATTTGGATAATACAAAAAAAAAAAAAAAAAAAAAAAAAAAAAGTGTGAAGAAATAAAGAGTCGTTAATTGGATAAAAGTGGAGGTTAAACTTTAAGAGATTCATTTTTGGAATTTGAGCTAACAGCTTTAGGGCATTATTAATTCACTAATCAAGAATTATTGTTTTTTTGGTAAAGTTAATTAGTGGATAGAATGTGCTAAACTTACTCATCCCTTCTCTAATAAGCAACTGTGTCTCGTAACCGGACCGAGTCGGCCGGTTCGACCGGTTGAGATGCAACTCGGTTGTTGGTCCCTGTCTAGATCAAAATGAAAAATCGGAAGAAAAAAAAAAGTCGAGTGTAAAACCTAGTTTAATCTGATTAGATAAAAATGGTTTTTTGTGTTCTTTTTTTATAGTGTGATATTTAATTTTATTTATTAAATTTATGCTTCAATATTATTGTGGATGAATAATAGTACTTTGAATTGTATTTTGGATTCTCTAAATTCATATCTACATAGGCAAAACTTCTTTTTGAAACAAAAGAATTTACTTTATGACTATTTATATATAAATCAATAAATATAAAGAATAACAAAAAGAATAGGTTGAATTGAGCTGGATCAATCCATTATGATTAGGAAAACGAGGGTCACTGCAGCTTGATGATAATCGAACGGAGAATATATATATACTCACCTGACCTACAATACAATAAGGCGCTATGCTACACATTATGAATTTTTTTCATCAATTACCCTTCGACGGTCAGGTCAGATGTCGATTATTGGTAGAATTTTTAATGTTATTACAAAATAATTATGTGATAGTTATAACTATCCAATTTTGGGTTGAGTTTTATTAGGTTTTGTTTGACTACTTTAGCTAGGTGATCTGATTTGGGTTTGGAGCTTTTGGACACATTAACTAATTAAATATTAAATATATGAATTGTATTATTAAAATAGTAATAATATGAGACAAAATATTAATAATTAAAATAAAATAAAAAGATTAGCGACGATTGGGGTGAGGTGAAGAGGCAAAGTGTAGTGAGTGAGAGAGTGACCTGGTGCGCATTTTCAGGGCAGCCATAACCACTACAAATTCAGTGACGCAATTTATTTGCTTGTTTTATTTATTTTTTTAGTGGATATTATTAATTATTATTATTATTACCAATTATTTTCTACAAATATCATTTCACTGTAGTAGCTTATTTTTAAAATTTAATTAAATCATTGTAGCCTACGATAAAAAAAATCACAGTAAAACAATATTATATGACATTGAAATTATATTTGTGCATGGTTTGAATAGGGTTAGAGATGGGTCGCGTCGAACAATTATCGACCAGTTACCTATTCGATCCGACTAACCGATTTTGCTGAATAGTGAAAATTATCGGGCTGACCATTATGAATTGGTTAATGGTTGGATAAACAATGGTTCGGTTGGTAGATATTATAGACCATCTATTTATTAATTATTATTTTTTTTCTTATAATAATAAGATTTTTTTCTTAAAAGAAAATCAGAATATATTCAAAATAATCTGTGTAGAGGTTTATAAATTTGGTCGATAAATTAGGGTAAACAATGGGATGGTTACGATGGTAGGTATTATGTTATCGACCATTTATATATGAAATAAGAATTATAAAATATAAATAGTATGTAGAGGTTTATAAATTTGTGTTTTGAATTTTTGAGTTTTGACTTCTTTTATATATTATATTAGCATTAAAAATAAAATTTACAACTAAATATTCATAATATTTTTTTTTATCATTAAAAAAGTTTGTTGACCGATATTACCCGACCAACCGAATTTTTGAGTAAATTTAAAACCATCGATCAACCCAATTCATATACGAATTGGTTAATTATCGATTATCGACAAAAAAATGTGGGACGGAAATGAATCAATTAGTCGATAAAACCGACTCATGTCCAACCATTGAATAACATTTCACTCAAACTCGTACAAGATTTAATTGCACCAAACAACAAATAGAGTATTCAAATACATTAGTTCACAAATCGAGTTCAGACGAATTTATAGCGAATAATATCAATGGAGACAATTTTGAGGTATTCAAATTTAAAATATAAATTAAATACTACTTTAATAGGTAAGTGTTACAAATAATACTTTAAGGGTGTAAATATCATATAAAATATACTTTAGGGGTGTAATATGTATTTAACCTTCAATTTGATTTTGAATTGTATGATTATAAAATGGGTGCAAATTTAGACCGGATGACCTGTTTTAATAGGAAAATCGAATGTCATAGGATGATTGACACGTAGATAGTTTAAATAAAAATATAATTCTAATTCTAATAATTGGAAAAAAAAAAAAAAAAAAAAAACTCCTGCATAACCGGTAACCCCTCTAACCCTAATTATAATCAGCGTGATTCATTAAGAATTTAGACTTAAGAGTGCCACATATCAAAAAATTAGTGGAATCCGATTTATATTAAATATCGACTGATCCGTGATTCATTAAGAGTTTAAGCTTAAGAGTGCCACGTGTTAAAAAATTAGTGGAATCCGATTTATATTAAATATCAGCTGATCCGCTCAGTATTTAATCTATAATAGAATTGCCTCCTGATGACCCCACCTCCTTCAGAATTGTCTCCTAATTCATATGCAATAGTTACAATAAACTTTTATCTTATTTATTTATTTATTTATTATTACTATTATTTTTTTTCTTTTTTCTTTTTATTTTTATATTGGGCATTTTAAATAGAAATATTTGAAAAAAGAAGTTGCTTTTACATTCATATTCGATGCTTCTTCTTCACTGCATTTGCGGACACTGTATTTTTCTCTCGGTTATTTTTCTCGTCGGACTCCCCTCTTTAATATAGTTTTCGTTTCTCAAAAGGTTTCTAATTCATCTCTCTTTTTTTTTTCTTTTTAATGATTTTGTTTGTCGAAGGATGTTTCTTGAAGATTCATGTAATGGGTCGAAAGAAAAATCAACGAATTCGTATCAGTATATATTGATTGATCTTTTTTTTAGTATATATTTACTGGGTTTGATTTCTTATGTGTGTTGATTCTCTTCCTTTGTATGTTATTGCATACACATACTCACACGTGTTTGTGCGTGTGTGTGTGTGTTAGAACGTGTGTCTACTGTCTTGTAGCTTTTCTTTCTATCTTACTTATGTGAAGTCTTCACTCTGCTTGTTTTGCTGTGTGCGCAAATTCAACTGTTTGCATATATTTCTTTGCACTTTCAACTGCGTGCTAAGTGTTTGTGCATATGTCTGTGTGAAAAAAAGCTGTATTTAAGCTTTAAGCTTTAAGCTAACTCTCATACATGATTCTTGTTTTGCAATCTGTTTGTACTGAAATTCAGAGGTTTATTATGTTATGTTTGTACTAAAATCTAACTTCGATTTTTTTTTTTTTTTTTAATTCATATTGATTAATCAAGGGAGTATATATTATATATCTCTCGGTTCCAATTTACGATGAATTCTACATCTGCTCGGTTTGTTCCATCGAAACGAATGGGAATATGTGAGCCGATGCATCAAATGGCAATGTGGGATTTCAAAGGAAACAATTTCCTCGAAACATCTCCACCGTCGATGTTTGAGATCGAAACTAATCTAGACAACCTGGTACACAATTTATTGTAATAACAATTCATGTATTAATCAACCTTTTTTTCATCGGATTATATTTTAACTTTCTCGTTTTTTCTCGATTTTATGTTTAGTCGGAAGATACTTCTCATGGCACCGTTGGACCTTCCAGTAAGTATGATCAAGAAGCAAGTAAATCGGATGATAAGGTAGATAAATACGATCGTCCCTTTTTTCTTTTTCTCATTTTTCATTTTTTTTTTCGGAAATTTACTTGTACTGTATTTTCGTTAAATCTCTTGAATTTTGAAATCGCTAATTTTTCAACTTTCGGAATTGGATTATTAGGTACGCAGACGCCTGGCACAGAACCGCGAGGCTGCTCGTAAAAGTCGTCTTAGAAAAAAGGTACGATTTTGTTTTTTCCATCACAATATTTTGTAGATCAGTTATAATTTTTTGTTTATTACAGAACCGTTACTTAGCGAACGAATTATTGGTCGGATAAATTGTTTATTTTATTTATTTATTTAATTTATTGTGATGCAGGCATATGTACAACAATTAGAAAGTAGTAAATTGAGACTAATTCAGTTAGAACAAGAGCTTCACCGAACCAGACTACAACAGGTAAAAAAGAATTTTCTACTATGCTTTAATTTATTTATTTATTGACAATTTAATTTGTATTTTTCAAGAATCTAAAAATGCGATTCTTTTGCGGTAGGGTCAATACGTAGGTGGCGGTATTGATACTAGTCAGCTTGGTTACTCCGAAACAACGAACCCAGGTTTGTAGGCTTATTTACGAAGTATAATCACTCCCTATCATTAAGTTAAAATATGGATTAATCATGGTTAGTTAGGTAAAATACGATTGATGTCATAATTAGCGCATTACAATCTCCGTCTTCGTATCGTCACCCCAACTCTAAAAGTTTGGAATAAGTCGCATTGTTTATATTTTTATAAAATATTGTTATTGATAATATATAAATAATTTACTAAAATTATAAATGCAGGTATAGCTACGTTCGAAATGGAGTACGGACAATGGGTGGAAGAACAAAATAGACAAATATCCGAGTTGAGGAGTGCTTTGAATTCCGATATGGGGGATATGGAGCTTCATATTTTCGTTGATTGTGGAATGAGGCATTATTCCGATCTCTTCACTATGAAAGCTACCGCCGCAAAAGCCGACGTATTCCACATCATATCGGGCATGTGGAAAACATCCGCCGAACGTTTTTTCTTGTGGATTGCGGGCTTTCGCCCTTCGGAACTTCTAAAGGTGGACGCACATTTCATTCTTAGACTTTATATGTAGCTCTTTACTTCATTTTAGACTTCCGTCTCACTTCTTTCACATCATAAGACCTCGTTTTTCAGCACCCATGTTATAAATATGGGTAAATTACAACCGCCCCCTGAGGTATGGTTAAATTACGAAACCCCCCTCCTGTTTGGGTAATTACAACCACCCCTCAACTATAAATCTTCTTACACGTCCACCCTTGCGGTTGCAAATTTAGTGGAATCTTCTAGATTATATGGAATATTCTCAATTTTGGACCCGTTTTATCCCATTCGAGCTCCAAATTTTGAAGCTAGATGTTCATAAGATGTGTTTTTTGGCTTGTATATATATCAGATTGTGGTGCATCAAAAACTGTATTTTTGGACAAAACGGAGTACAAACTATAGAATATTCCACGGAATCCTAGATGATTATGTTGAATTTGACGTCATAAGGGTGAGATGTAAGAAATTCATAGTGAGGGT